AACCTCCATACTGTTTTCCAGAGTGGTCGCACCAGCTTGCATTCCCACCAACAGTGTAGGAGGGTTCCCCTTTCTCCGCATCCCCGCCAACATCTGTCATTTCCTGACTTGTTAATTTTCGCCATTCTGACTGGTGTGAGGTGGTATCTCATTGAGGTTTTGATATAAAAGTACATTTTAAAAATTATTTAAAAAAAAAGATTCACTGATAATCACTCAGTGCTTCCCCAAAGGGAAACTCTATTATTATATAAAGCCAAGAGACAGCCAGACACCCTCATTTGCCAATCTAGTTTATAATGGTTCTTTAATCCTATGATGGAAAGAAACAATACTTCAAAGCACAATACAAAATACTAGCTATTCTTTGCCTACCCAGGTCTCAACCACTGGGACAATACTTTCACTTAATCTAGCACCTGCTGCATGCTTCTCCTTTCTAGGGTCTAGATCTATGAAGAATTTGCATCTTCAGTACCAATACGGTTACTGAAGGCAAAGAAGAGTCATGTTCAAGAGAAGGCCGTACAGTCTATTGTCAGGTTCAAAACCTGGTTACACAACTTCCTAGCTATGTGACCTTAGATAAGTTACCCAACTCTAAAATACAGAAAAATAGAGTATTCATCTCACAGGACGGTGGTAAGGACTAATAAGAAAATGTGGACACTTGGCAAAGGGATAGACACTTGGTTAAAATCCTCCCGACTGAAACACTGATTCATCAGGGCACCGAACAAACCTTGAGCATATGAGTACCCACAGAAAAGAACTGGGCAAATCAGGACAGAAAAAAATTGACATAGAGTCCCCAAGGTAGGTCACAAATATTTTATTGTTTATCTTCTATGTATCCAGACCAGAGGTTTGGACTCCAGGGAAAAACTTGAAGGGGGTTATTTGTTTATCAGATTCTCAAGGGGATTCAAGAGACAACTGACCTAAACAACAGTTTTGCTTCAGGGTTAAGTGCACAGGCTTTGGAATCAGACAACTTGGGTTCAAGTACACTTAACTGCTTTGTCACTTTGAGCAGGTTATTGACCTCTCTGATCTTCAGTTTCTTCATGCACAAAATAAAAGTAGTAATAACAACGATCTAGCTGAATTTTGGCAATCCCAAGAGGCTAGTTTTATTGCCTCAGATTAACACATGAAGGAAACCTAAACCCAAAGGTCTGTGAATGCTAATTACAAAATAAAACCATAAAATTTTATAGCTGGAAAAGACTGTAAAACATCTAATCCAGGGTTATTTATATAATTATGTATTTATTTTGCATAATTAGTTTTAAAAACCCTGACCTTACATTTTCAGTAGTGAGAAAGATGAACAGAAGAAAACTAATACACAAATACTAAGATAGTAATACATACTGCAGCAAGCACCTAATGATAATGGAATGCCTGAAATCTGGGAAAGAGTGATGAACTCCACCCTTTCCACTGAAGAGGTCACACATGACCTATTTAAGTAAGAGTAGCAAAGAGTATAGTTAATACATACAACTGGACATACAGAGATTAAAACATTTAGTTCCTTACTAGTCTTTCCCCCAAGTTACAGGGCTGCTCCACTCCATTAGATAACTTAAATAACTCTTAAACCCTATCACTGCATCATGTCCTCCTACCCAAGGAATTCTTACCCCTGCCAAAAAAAGAGTAGCAGGCAAATAAATTTCCAGTCACACAAATGCACCCTACTCATACTCAAGACGGACATACAAATACAGTTCCAAATTCTAGTAGGCTTGGTCCAGGGGGTCCACTCTGGGTAAGCAGGATGGGAAAGGCTTAAGAGTTCTGTATTAGCAGGAATTCCAACTCTGGCTCAGACCATGCAGGGGTTCAAAACTAGGCCCCACTGCTGGAGCTGTGTGGCTCTGGACTAGTGACTCCACCAAGCCTGTGTTCTCATTTGTAAAATGAATAACATGAGATAACTCACTGGCAAGGAGTCAGTCTCTGTAGCCACAGGGGCAACAGACTATTCACTGCTACATTGTCAGGGCCCAGAGCAGTACCTAGCACACAGCAGGCACTCCATATGTTTGCTGAATAAAGCAGAAGCCCAATTAAACCCAGGCTGAGATTCAATCAAAATTCGTGGGCCCAATCTATGAGGGAGCCCCTAACTTACCCCAAACCAGGGGTGGAGTGTTCCCTGAACCAAGGATGGTCACGGAGAAAGGAAGAATAGGCTTCAGGTCATCAGAGACCCTGCCTCTGAGGAACCTCATCACACCACAATTTTATGTGTATTTCACCCCCAAAAGACTGGCAATTGCTGTCCTGGGGTTCCATTATCTCCCTTTTCATTTTTAGAAGCAACAGGATCACAAAATGACATCTCAGGCACTGGACTTCTGGAAGTCTCCTTTCAAGAGGACTGGGAACAATGTTCAGAGGTAGGACCCCCCTCAGCCAGTGCAACCTGTCTTAGCTGAAAGGTATCACCTATTAAGAAATCCATCACACAGACAAGAAAAGGTAAGTCAAAGACATTTCCACTGTCTTCCTTCATGTCATTCCCCATTCTCAAAACTGAAAGATGGATGGAACTATTTTTAAATGGGCAGACTGAAAAGGCATCAAAAACGACCTCACAATCCAAAGAGCTCATCCCTAGAACACTCTTGTTGGGCCAGGAGAAACTCTCTGGATCTGCAAAAGTCAAGAGAAAATCATACACTGAATGCAAATCTCACCCCCCCCCCGCGCCCCACCAAAAGGAAATAAGTAAAAACGGTTTTACAAAAGGCTCCAGAATCTTAAAGGACGAGCTTAAACTTCTGTTTTCTGAGTGAGGCCGGAGGACATTCCCTCAAAACCTTTGAGTTTTCAAGGATAATGGGAGAGGTAAAAAGGAGAGCGAGGGAGATTGTCAGGATATGTTCGTTCTATTTTTAAACCCTCGCCCACAGTTTAGAGTAAAGGAACACTCTGATGCTGTACTCCCACCGCTGTCACCTTCTGCTAAACACAAGAATCAGAACCTGCACACGTACACGGCCCTGGGTTACCGGCTGCCACTACCGCCCAGAACCGCGAGCTAACCAACCATTCCACCCAGCCCTTCCCTGGCAGCGCCCGTGCCTTTCGGAGAATCCGGCGGCCCCGGGCGGGCTGGCGGACAGAGAGCGAAGCAATCACGAGCCGCCTCTTCCTGAGGGGAGGCAGCGCCCCCTTGGCAGGGCACGTTCCGCTTCCCCGGCTGGGTACCCAAGGGTGAGCGAGTGTTCCCCCAAGGGAGCCGGAGCGGTGGACGCGATGGCGTTTCCCAACGGGGTGCGGCGCGCCAGGCACTGGCGTCTCGCTCCCGGGACACCTGTGTGCCGCGCACACCCAGCCGCCGTGCCCCAGAGCACCGCTCGCCCTCGGTCACCTCCCGGCCGGCCCAGAACGCCAACGGCCGAGCGGCCGCTCCCCCTCCTCGCCGACTGCTGCTGGCTCGCCCATCCCACGGACCCTTCTCGCCCCACTGTAAGCATCTACAGCCGTCCCTCAGTGCCCCCAGGGCGGAACGGGAGCCGCCGGCGCGCGGACGCCCAGGGCCGAGAGCCGCCCGACCGCCCTGCCGCCTCAGGGCCCCGTCCCCGCCGGCCTCGGGACACTCACTCCTGAGCGCGCTGATGAGTGACTTCCCGTCCTTGATGAGCTCCTTGATGAATTTGTTGGTCTTGTCCAGCTCCGCTTCGTGCGACTTGAGCGTCTCTCGGAAGTGCGGGCTGTCGAGGCAGCAGTCGCTGAATTCGAGCGCGGGGAGCCCCATAGTGCCCGCGTCGCCCAGCCGGGGGACGCGCCTCCCCCAGCGCCCGGGAGGCCCGCAGCCCCGAGCACGCACGCGGCGGGACCCCGGCCGGGACCCCCGACGCCCGCCGGCTCCACAGGTGTGGCGCCGGCTCGCCCTCCGCGCGGTGTCCGCGGGTGCGCACGACTCCTGACCGGAGTGGGGACCCGGCCGAGGGGCGGCTGCTCCGGCGGCGCGCCACGGAGCGGCTGGAGGGCAAGAAGCGCAGCGACGGTCCCGCAACGGTGCCGGGAAACGAGCGAGCAGGCGAGCGAGTGCTACCGCCGCCTCCCCGCCTCCTTCGGCTGTTCGCTCTCTAGCGGCCTCGAGCGCCCTCTCACAGCAGCCTCGGCCGCCCTGCCGGCGTCCGGGCCGCTCGAACCTGCTAGCGATGACCTAATCCCAGCCGGACCAATCAGCACGCCCGCCTCAGCCCGACCCCCCCTGCCTCCCGAGGACACCCGGCCCTTCCGTGGCCTTCACCCAATCAGCGGGGCGTAGAGGCGGGGCCTGGGTCAGGGGGTGGGTCCACGCCACCGCCTAGGTCCGCAATACAAGCTCCGCCCTCTCCCGCCCGCGCGGTGGTGCCAACCCGGTGCAGAAGGGGTGATCGCTGTGGTGCATGGGCCCTTCCCACTCGCGATCTTGGTGACCTGTTGCGGCCAGGATCCGACCCCGAGGTAGTGCTTCTGCAGGTCTGGGGAACGGAGGACCCTAAATATGCCTAGTCCGAAAAAAACTGGGAATTGGGGCTGCAGTTCCCTTCAGCCCGCCCTGCACGCCTGGGCAATTGAGCTTTCACTCAAAACGCAGCCCCCTACCCCGGGAGAACCTCGAGCGCAACGAACCACCATGTCAACCCTAAACACACGCTCCTTATCCCAGCCAAGCAGAAAATATTTGCATCTTTGAATTACCAGCTCTTCTTGCCTGCAGTTTTTCTCGCTCCCCACAGTCCGTCCCCCTCATGGCCACTCCTGCTCAAAATCCGCCCACGGCTGCCCCAGCAGAAAGATCTAACACCCTTACAAGAATTCCAGCCGCCCGTTGTTTTCCTGCTAGGCATGTAGCACAATTTTACATAATTACGTCCTCTCTGTCGTCCTTTGATACACTGTGAGCTTCACGAGGGCACGGACCACTGCAGTTTTGTGAGCTGCTGCATTCCCAACACCTACACCAGTGGCTTGCATTCAGTAACAGATATTGAGAGCTTACCATGTGCTACGTATGATTCTCGTGCTCCGGTGATTGACAAATATTTGTGGAATAAATGAATAAATCTCTCCCCACCTCCCACCCCCACTGCGCTGCCTTGTTGTCCCTCTGTTCCACCACTGGAATCAATCCAGGGAGCGCACTTACTGCACTTGTCAGGCTGGACCCCGCAGTGTCTAGTCCTGAATTGTGAACTCCTGGAGGATAGGGACTGTCCCTGCAAAAATTTTTGTATGTCCAGGAACTAGCAGCCCTCCTTCAGTTAAGGTTTTTTTGTTTGTTCTGTTTGTTTTTTTAAATAGGTCTGCTATGTGCAGGCACTAAACTAGATGGTACGGATGCTAAAATGAATAACACAGAATGAACTTAACTGCTGCTGGTCGGTGGGGGAGACAGGTGAAAAGCAAAAGCGCTGCATGATGAGACAGGAGAAGGCCTCAGGGCTTGGGAACATGGGGAAAAGTTTGCCAACTCAGGAGCCAGAGAAGGCATCTATGTTGAGAAATAAATTGATCGGTTTATTGAATGCATAAATGAATGAATGAGTGTGATCTCTTTGGTGTTGTATCTACAAATTTAGACTTGAGAGCAGGCCCAAACAGCTATGGGATAGATAATTAAAACCCTGAAAATAGTTGCTCCTCACTTGCCAAGGATGAGAAAGATCTGCTTAATGCTGTATTTTGAGCACTTAAAAGGTAGGTGTTCTGGTTCTCTATGGATACATAACAAATCACACTGAAACTTAATAGTCTAAAACAACAATCTTTTGATTTTCTCTCATGATCTCTGTGGGCCAGGAATCTGGGGAGAGCTTAGCTGGGTAGCTCCAGCTTAAGAGTCTCTCCTCTGTTCCCAGTCAGATGATGACAGGCCCTGGAGCAGGGGTGGTTAGCTGAGCTGCTACCTCTCCTTGGGTGGGCCCAGGGCTTCTCCATGTGCTCTCTGTGTGTGCCCAACTTTGGGCTTCCTCACTGCATGGCAGTCTCAGGACTCCAGTGTGACTGTCCCATCTCCCAAGGGGAAAGCTGCACCACCGTTTATGGCCTAGCCGTAGAAGTCACAAATTTCTACCACTGTCATTAGCTACAAGCAAGTCACAATCCCTCACAGATTCAAAGGGAAGGGAATGAGACTATGCCTCTAGGCGGGAAAGTGACAGGAACGGGAGATACTGTTACAGCCATCTTTGAAAAAAATAATCTGCCACAGTGGGCCTCGCACATGATATTCAATAAATGTTAAATGAATGAAACAAAATGGGGGCCACAATGATTCATCTTCTCCTGTTGCGGAATATTGGGCAATTGTGTATAAAGTAAAATAAATGCATTAATAATAATAATAACATTAGCTATCATTTGTCAAGTGCTTAGTTTGTGCCAGGCACTATGCTAAATTATTTACATGCATTTAATCCCTACCAGGTAATATTGGTACTATGATAATCCCCATTTTTCAGGTGAGAAACTGAGGCCCAGAACTGTAAATTAAACCACGTTACCTAGCTAAGAAGTGTGTGTGATACATACATATACACATATACCTTAATATGTCCATTTACAGACAAATACGTGTGGATAACATTTTATTTCTTATTAATTTAATTCAGAATTTCCATAAGCACTTCCCACACTTCAGGCAATATTATCAGAAAAAAAGAATCAGAATGCAGTAGTATTGAGCACAAAACTGGCACATGGAAGGTGCAGTTATCTCTCTCTTCCTAGAAAATAAACTCCATAAAGTTGAGATTTTGTGTTGTCTGCTGCTTCAGCCCCAGCTCTTAGAACAGCAGTGGGTACTTCGGAGCTGCCCAATGCCAATAGGAGGGGCACGAGTTTAATAAGGAAGAAACAGCAATGCGTGTGACAACATAAGCTGTAGCTATGAAGGAAAATAAAACAAAAATCACTTCCTAGGAAATATAGAAATAATTTAGGCAAAATAACTTGGCCTAAATTCTTTAGAAGATGTCTGAATTCCTTCCAATTAGTCAAACAATAAGTCTAAAGAGTTCTACTTTCAGTATCAGTATAGTTTGAATCCGTAATCTCTGACTTCAGTTGTCCAATTTATTTTACAGTTGCCATACAGTGACCTTCCATTTGTAGAAGACTGGAGAGCATTCTCATATAGGTTCTCTCTGAGCCCACATAAGCAGAGGTGAGCAGAGGCCACTCATTCATGGCTCCTGAACACAAACTGGAGAACAGGGCTGGTCCATGATGAAGGTTCTTAGGTCCTCATGTAACTAAGGACCAGAAATAGATGTAGCCTCTGGGGACTTGGATGATGACGTCAGCACAAGATTTCTCTCTGCATCCCATGAGCTGACCTTCCTCTGTAGTGCCTTCATTCTCAGTGGCTCTCTGCTCCTCCAAATTTATATCCAGCAATATTAGCAGTAACAGAGGTTTTTTTTTTTCCCCCAAGAATTAGAGCAGAAATTAAAGACTGAAGCCATGGGTTAAACAGCCCCGCTCCTAAAACGTAAAGCACTGGGGAGGAGTTGTTTCCCCCAAAGGACAAGGGCTGTTAACAGGAAAAGAGGGAATTAATGCTGAATAGGCAGAAGCAATAATAAGCAGTACATCTGACCAGTCCCCCAACCCCCTCAAAATGAATGCTCCTTCTGCTACATTTCCATGGTTTTGTAATTCTAGTTAGCACGTATTCATTCTTTTTTATAGTTGATACCATATGTTGCTTTTTATACAGTGACTTTGCCTTTGTATTATTACCGGATAAGACATCAGTTTTCCGGTTTTAAAATAACGATTTGGGGATTATGTTGTAAATATTCTATGTCTCAGTTGTGGTGATGGTTACACAGGTGTCGACATTTGTTAAAATTTTATTGTGTCTAAGCTACACCCCGATAAATTTGATTTTAAGAAATAATGATGATGGTAGTGATATTAATGATGATATTTATTTGAGCTTTTTTTCTGTAGTAGGATCTGTGCTAAGTACTTTATTGCATTTCCAACCTCTACGAAAATCTGGGAAGTAGGTAGCGTTACCATCCCTATTTTATAGATGAAGCAACTAAAGATAGAGAAGTAAGGTGACTAAGGTCATATACTTAGTGGTAGAACTAGGCTAAGAATTCAGATCTATCTGTTTTAAGTAACTATCTGCATATAAGATATCTATAAGAAAGATATTTTATATATGTATATTAATTATATATATATATATATAATTAATAATACTAGCCAAAGCCTAAAATTGGAATAAGATCACACATAAATGAAAGAGGAGGTATCTCATTCTGAAATGTATGTGTTTTTCCAGGACCATTTGCTGGTATGCCCCCAACATATCAATAATTATGCAAGCCTCTAATTTGTTTTGGCTTTAAATCAAATCCAATTGACTGAAACAGACATGGAATCCTTATTTTCCTTGAAAGAAGAAAGAGTAATCTATCCTTACAAATTCATTGGTTTGTAGTTCTTCAGGGGAGATCGCAGCACTTAATTAACATTCTTTGGCTCAAGAAATTAATGAAATTCATATTACTTGCAGTATACAGGTCTGTTTTATATGTTATAAACAACTCCTCAGACTTCTACACAGCTGCTGGTGCCATGTGCCATTTTTCTGGCCATTGAGATAGAAATGGAAATCTACTGGGTGGGGCTTTGGAAAAGGTTTTTGTGTTTGATAAAGGGACAGCTGTACTCATGTTTCATGCTGGCTTCTCCTTAGAAGGAGAAGCCCATCTTCCCTCCCTACTCTTTTCGCTGAGAATATGGGTGTAATGCGTTAAGGAGCGGCCGTCATCTTGCAACCATGAGGATGAATACCACATGCCAGGTGCCTTGGTGATATCCATGAGCCACCACACCCAGCCCTAGAATGCCCACCTACCAACTACTCATCACATGAAGGGGGGAATAACGCATTTAGGCTGCATTAGTGGAGTTTTCTGTTACTCAAAGCCAGATACAACCCTAACTGATATGATGCACTAATCACAAAACCTATTGAATCACCTCCTCTTGAATTTTGGGCATCTGCATTAATACATGGTTCTTAGGGAGTTTCCAAAATGGAAAATCATTAGGCTTTTTAAAAAGATTTTATTTGTCAGAGAGAGAGAGAGA